GCCGCGGCCCGCCGGGCGCACCTTGAGGAGGGCGGCCACCGCCTCCTGGGAGGCACCGCGAACGTCCTCGCCATTCACCGCCAGGATCTGGTCACCCTGCGTCAGCCGCCCATCCAGGTCCGCAGCCCCACCCTTCACGATGTCGGAGACGAACACTCCGCGGCCTGAACTGTGGGGGGAGGAAGGCGGCCAGCAGCTGCTCACCTCAGACTGCCTCTGCCCGCCGCCCTTATCACTTCCGGTCCTACTTCCTTCTTAGCAGGATAAGTCTGCTGGAAGCCGGGGCTCAGCGTGTGAGCCTGGCCCAGCCTCCCTCTGCCCGCAGCTCCGGCCCCGAGTTTGTTCTCAGTTACTGCCGCTTGGGCGTGTGCAAAGGACACTGGGTCTCCTGTAAGCGAGGGCAGCCACGTACAGGGCAGATATGTGTAACTGGGTGCCACCCCGTGCTATGTGACTTCCCCTCAGTTTTGTTTTCTTTGATCCCATTGTTCTAACTCGCTATACCTCAGCAATGGATCTCTTAGTTTCACTCTGCTTTGCTTTCATGCTAAGCGTGCACCAAACCACACTGAATGGGAGTCCACGCCATCTTGGTGGTGTCAGCCACAGAAGTGACAAATGCAGCAGGACATGGTCCCTGAGCTATGCCCAGCTCCACAGACCTTTATCAGCTTCCTCCTTTTTATGGCTGCATACTATTCCATGGACCCATAATTTCACTTATTACTAACCTATTGATGGGTGTATAGGTTACTTCCATTCTTTGGCTACTGTAAACAACGGGCAATAAACATCTGTAAGTATAGCTTAGAATAATTTCCAAGTCATGGATTGGTAGCCAAAGGGGACTGTGTGTCTCAGTAAGCAAAACCAGGCAATCTTTAAGCTGATGTCTGACTTACTTCACTTGATATTGTGGTCTCAAGTGCACCCATTTTCCTGAGAATGCCTCAGGTTTACCTCCTCTGTGGCAGAGCATGGAGTTGTTGTGTGAGCTAGTATCTCTGGGGTAGCTTTATTTAAGGACAACTTCTGCCCGGAGGAGGCTGTGTTCGTCCAGACAGCTTTAATTCGGTGTGGATAGAGGCCCCCCAGCCTCACAGGCGCCCTCTGAATTCTCAGCTTCATCAACCCAACCCTGGTGCCGGGTGGGGCCGGGCTTTGTTAGGCGGCACCGCCCACCCTTGCCTCTCTCCTTACCGCTTCCCGACAATGCTGAGGCCCAGCCCGCGGCCAGCCTTCTTGTGCAGGTCCACCGGCAGGACCTCCAGGCCGCCCTCGTCCCGGAACACGGCCAGCCGCACCTGCTGCGGGGTCTGCCGCAGGGCCGCGACAGCTTCCTCGTGATTGCAGCTGCGCAGGTCCATGCCGTTCACCTGTAAGAGTGGCACCGAGCGGGCAGAGGGGCCCTAGAGGCCCTGACACTGCCCGAGGCACAGAGCTGGGCACTGTGGGAGGGGAACGTGAGTGTCGGGCACGTTCGAGGCCTCGCTGCCCAGACCCTGGTCCTCCTGGTTGTGCGGCCGCTCCTCTGAGCCCCGCCGGGTGCCGGCTGCACGTATTTTAGATCTCCCCTCACTGATCAACGTTTACGGCGATTTCTGTGCAGTGAGAACATGACGCTGTGTCCTCGTGCACCTCAGCACTGGGTCTGGCGCTGTGTGACTCCGGCTCTTCCCCAGAGTCAGGACGACCACAAGAGGGGAGCGTTGTGAACCAGCCAGGGCAGCACAGCTACAGACCCTCAGGACAGAGGACTCCAGGCTGCAGAAGTGGCCAGGATGGGACGAGGCTGTGCGAAGTTAGGGGAGCGTTTTGAGGGGGCTCTGGTGATGTGCCTCTTACTACCATAAAAACATTTTAAATGTAAACATTAGGGTATTTTGTGACCGCCCCTGACACACCAGCTCTCTGAAATACACTTTTTTCACCCAGCACAAACCGTCACATTTCTGGAACAAAACATTTTGTGGAAAAATCACAGAGGCCAGGTGAGGGCAGGGCAAAGCAGGGCCTGTCTTGTATAGCGCTGCTGTATCAGTTAAGTGCACTTTTTGTGAGACAGTGTTTCCAGGCTGGTCTCAAACCCCTGGGCTCAGGGGCCTCCCTGCCTCAGCCTCCTGAGGGCTGTTCCCAGCACATGCCACCAGGCCTGGTTGTGAAGTGCACAGCTCCACAGGTTCTGACACACTCGTATGTAACCATATTAATGGAAACGTAGTTTCAGATGACATTACAGGACAAGGTATGGACTGTGTCAGGGCGTGCGTGCATGTAAACTACTCATCTCAGTGAGCCGAGCATAACAAAAATGGATGAGAAGTCAGGAGAAGAAACAGGTCCCAGCCCTTCCCACTTCCGGCCTGAACAGCGCTAAGCAGCTGTCCAGAGCCGCCATCCCTATCCTCACCCAGGAATCGCCCAGCACGCAGCGCCGAGGCCTGCGCAGGCCTCGGTACCTCGCACCTCTCCCTTTCCCTCTGGTCTGCGGTTTTGGCCCTTGGAGAGACCTCAGTTCTGGGCCTGGGAAGCCAGAGAGCCACCGAGGGGAGAAGGGCATCGGTGATGTCACTCAAGGTGGCCACCGTGGGCTGTGTGGAGCGGTTGGGCAGAAGCCCAGGCTTTGGCGCTTTCGAAAGGCTTTATGGTCTTGCCAAATGAGAAGCAACTTGACAGCATCAAGCTCAGCGGTTCAGTTTTTTTTTTTTTTCTAAATCTGCAGCGCTGGGGATCAAACCCAGGACCTTGTGCTTGCCAGGCAGGCACAGAATCTGTTGTGATTTTAAAGCAGTGAGTCGATGAACCTGCTTTAGTAAGAAGACACACCGTGTGGCCCACTGTTTGGGGGAAGGAGCCCCGCCGGTTCACTCTGGAGCAGGAGGCAGCCACTCTGGCCTGGGGGTCGGGGTCAGCAGGGGAGCCGTGCGCGGTGCAGAATCAAGCTTGAATTACGCACCTCTAAGATCTGGTCTCCGGCCCAGAGCCTCCCGTCTCGGGCTGCCGCTCCTTCCCCGTAGACCTCATGCACAATGATAGCATCCTGCAAAAGAAGCCCATTCGTCGCTCCTGGGGTAAGCGACCAGACGGAGTGGCCCGCGCAGGCCCACAGTGCTCCTCCTGCCGGTCTCCTGCGGGCGCACACACCGCTATCCCTGTGGGTCTTGGCCAAGTCTCCCTTCGGCCAGCGCCTCGGTGGCTCTGCACTGCCACTGGGCGGGCACGCGCCGTGACGGGAGGGGAGCTGGCTCACTCTCATTTACACCTCAGGTGTGTGCGGAACCCGTCTCAGGGAGGATGGGGAGAGGAGAATCAGGCCGGGGCAAATCCCACCTCGGAGGTTAAAGAGTAGCTTGTATCCCTCCAAATCTGTCCTCATCCCGTGCCATGTGACCGGGAGAACACACCGGTGAAGCAGGCATCAGCAGCCCCGCCTGGAGGACGCGGGGCCGACCGGTTTCGGGGTGCCTGTCGGGCCGAGCGGTGCTCTGCCTCCACCCAGAGCGCAGAGCTTCAGCAGTACGCGCACAGGAAGTACAGACAACGCTGAAAAGCCTCTCGAAGAAACAGCAAGTGAGGCAGGAAAAACTCAAATATTCCGCAGAGAAGCAACACCGGCAAGGTGAGGTCTAGCTCAGGGCTGCTTTGACTTTAAAATAAAGCTAAGGTAATGAGACGTTTTGTATAAAAATATATGACTTAAGTAACGATAAAATGGGCTTGGGCTGGGGGACTGCTCGCCAAGGCAAACAGTCCTCATGAAACGGACGGCACGGAGCTCACCAGAAGGGGAGCAGCACAGCAAAATGCCTTATCAAATGTGCCCGGCTTTCTACCTGCTCACCGAGAAAACATCCAGTGGCTCACACTGCTGCAGTCCTGCTCTGAAACCGCCAGGCGCAGTAAGACTGAGCCACAGCACGCAGCGGGGCCAGGGCGGAAGCGGGGCCGCCTGGGAACAGGAGAAAGGCGGCGGCCACAGCGCAGGCACCCGCGCCTGCTCCGACCCGCATGCTGGCGGTTGCCTGCGCGCTCCAGTGCAGACGGGAAGTATCAGAGTGCCGCTGTCCACGGGACCTCCGCACCATGAGTGAATTACATTGGTATTCGGGCCAGGGCACGCATGGCTCCGTGGGACAGCTCATACTCAGCAGGCTCGAGGCACCGGGTTGATCCCAGCAGCAAACTAAATACACAGGACGATATTAAATCAGGTACTGAGCAAATGCAGCTGTGAAACCTGGACAGAGCGACAATGCTCGCAGGTCTGCCGTCCCTAGGCCTTCTCAGGACGGACGTCCACATCTTTCAGCCCTATCCCACAACCCAGCGACCTCCACACGGGGAAATTCCAGAAACAGAGAGCGCCAACGCCCTTCCACTGCTGTCCCTCCACAGAGATGCCAGGACCGGAAGGGTAGAGCAAGCACAGGGACTAGGGCTCGCGCTGATAAACCGTCCTTGCCAGAGAATAATGAGCACAGCCACTCACAGAACAATACTGAAGCCTTGCTCCTTAGAAAACAGGCAAAAATAACCAGAAGAGCCTCGTGGATTTCAAGTTCTGGGAAGCCTGGAGAGGGTTTCCATAGTGACCACCTGGAAAGCGTGCCTCGCACGGGCGCTCCAGCAGTCACAATCTACCCGTGTCTGTGCAGGCTCTGACCTGGGCCTCGCCGCCGCTAGGGGTGGCCAGCAGGTCCCCTCTTGCCAGCCGGTGTCACGGATTCCTCGGAGTAACGTGAAACGGGTTCCACACTGAGTCACTGCCTCTCTGTACTTTTTGGTGGTTCTGGGACTGAACGTAAGAGGTGCTGAGCCCCATCGCCAACCCTGGCTGGCCTGGAACTTGCCGTTCTGCCTCAGCCTGCCCAGTAGCTGGAATTACAGGCGCGTACCGCCATACCCAGCTGGGCTTTCTTTTTCCCCTCCCACCCTCACCGCCACTCTCCTCTCCTGTCTTCTTTGGTTCTGGTTTACACAGATGTCCTCCCAAAGCCTCCTGCCATCACGGGTGAGGCTCCAGGAAGGTGACTCGATCACGGGGCTCACCGCCGACGTGCTGATGGGATGGAGGCTGCTCAGAAGAGATGGCTTACTGGGGTGTGGCCCGAAGGGCTCGTCTCCTTTCCCAGCTCCTCCTCGACTCTTCCCGTTTCCTGCCGTGAGGAGAGCGGCGTTCCTCCACCAGACCCTTCTACACGCTGCTTCTGCTGGAGCCTGCGGAGCATGCAAGGACTGAGCCGTCTGACCGTGAGCCAAAACAAACCTCTCCTGCTTTACCTTGTGGGGGTCCGGTTTCTGGTCCGAGCACATGGCAAGTGACTTCTTTTCTTGTTTTCTGCACCATCCTTTCTCTGCCTTGGAGTTAGCCAAACACAGACGTCTCTTCCTTTAAGTGGCAGGTATCTGGTGTTTTGTCCCAGTACGAAGTAGCAGGGGAGTGGGAGTGGGCCTGTGGCTGTGACTACATATGGCTCAGAACCCTCAGAACCGGCGTGCTGGAGGTGTCTGGGGATGCAGCTGGGGCAAGCAGCCCTAGAGTGCTAGGAGCTGAGCCTGATGTGAGGGTCTGGTCAGAGGTCGGAAATCAGAATGCTGACCAAAGGGCAGATGGGAAAACTGGGCTCAGTTTCAGGTGGGAACAAGGAGCCCGTTCCCAGTTGGACTCAAGACCACGTGTGCTATGCTCTGGCAGAAAATGTCCACATTTTGCTGATGTCCTGAGACTTTATGGGGACGGAGATTAAAGGTAATTCATTTGGGGGAGGAAATTTCAAGGCAGCCCCAAATTCACTCTGCAGCACGGGCACTGACAGGTAGGTCTACACTGAGAATCAAGAACAGACTGTATAGCTGAGTAACTGTAAAAGATTTTTGAGTTTTACTAGAAATGAAGCTCCTGTACAGTTGGAGCAGAAGAGAATTTACTTGCTGACAAAATTAGCATTAAAAAGAAACCAGGTGGGCTGGGGATTTAGCTCAGTGGTTCCGGCACCTGCCTTGCAAGCAGAAGGACTTGAGTTCGATCCCCGGTACCAAAAACAAACAAACAAAAAGAAACCGGGTACTTCACGTGATGCTACAGAGGATGCTCCGAGGGCCTCGGGGGAATCCACAAGGCCTCACCTCTCCCTCTGCAGGCTCCTGGGTGGAAGAGGGAATGATGCTGAGAAGACAGCTGGGGAATTCTGCTGAAGAAAGGTGATGGCTCAGCCGTCCAGGCACTCAGAAGCCACTGCAGCCACAGGTCGAGGGGGCCTGGCTACTGCTGGAGTCTGCAGCAGACCCTGGTGTCAGGCACACAGCACTGCTTTATGGGAATGCTGAACGAGAGTTACAGAGTCATGCAAGCTTCCCCCAGACTTCAGAGGAAGCCCTGGGAGGCCAAGCAGTGTCCCTGAGAGGGCAGCGTGGGAAGCTGTGAGAGGGAAGCCAGAGCTGCAGCAGAGAGCCAGGAAGTTGGAGAAGCCAGGAACGTGGAGCATCTGCTGCGGAAAGCTGCAGGCCGTGAGCAGAGCTGGCCAGAGGGAACCCAGGAAGGCTTCGACCACGGGCAATGCAGCCACCCCAGCCCTTGGAGTTTGCATCTTGCCGCAGCCACCCTGGGTGCTGGATGTGGAGCTGTAGGATTCAAGTTTGCCCTGCTGGGCTTTGGTCTTCTTTGCCCCACTTCCTTTCTGTTCCCCTACTTCTCCTTTTGGAATGGGAATATCTTTGTTGGTGGCGTTTAAATTTCTTTCTGATTTTCACTGGGCTCACAGCTAAGCACTTGCCTTAAGTCTCAGAAGGGACTTTGGACTTGGGCTTCTGAGCAATGCTGGGACTGTGAGGACCGGTAACTCCCAAGGATGGCTCAAGGCACAGAGATGTGCACGAGACTTGGGGCCAGTGGTGGGTGTCACGATCTGATCTGGACATCCCTCAAGCCTGTGCACTTAGGAAGGCGGCTGGACCAAGGGGTGGTAGAGGTGATTTGCTGGGGGCACTGGTTGGAAGAGCTGGTCCTGGCATGGCCTGGAAATTGGATCCTTCCCTGGCTCCACCCTTGCATCCTCTTCCTGCTTCCTGACCAGGACGATTCTGCCTGCAACTGGCCCACCCCACAAGGACTCAAACTTCTAAAACCTGAGCCAAAACGAGCTTCTCCCACTTTAGTTGTGGGTACCTGATGCTCAGTCCTGGTAACAAGGAAAGTGACTGAGGGAGCAAGGCGCTTTCTGTTCTTCCTCTTCTTGGGCCGGGGACTGAACCTAGAGTCTTTGTACTGAGCTACATCCCTATCATTTAATGAGACAGCATCTCACTAAGCTACCTAGATTGGACTCAGATTTGTGATCCTCCTGCCTCAGCCTCCCAGAGTGCTGGTGTTACAGGTGTGTCCCCACTCCTGGCTCTAAAGCATTCTTTTCTTTCATACATAAAAAGGTAGCCTTGGGCTGGGGATTTAGCTCAGTGATTCTGCCGCCTGCCTTCCAAGTGCAAGGACCTGAGTTCAATCTCTGGTACCAAAAGGAAAAAAAAAAAGGTAGCCTTAAGTAATTGCAGAGAGTCGTCTTTTCCCTTCTGATTGTCTTTCTCCAATTTGCTTAGTTCCTCTCACAGGACGTGCTGGGTACTGTTCCTGCAGGCTCGGTTCCTCTCACAGGACGTGCTGGGTACTGCTCCTGCAGGCTCAGTTGCTCTCACAGGACGTGCTGGGTACTGTTCCTGCAGGCTCAGTTCCTCTCACAGGACATGCTGGGTACTGTTCAGGCTCGGTTCCTCTCACAGGACGTGCTGGGTACTGTTCCTGCAGGCTCGGTTCCTCTCACAGGACGTGCTGGGTACTGTTCCTGCAGGCTCGGTTCCTCTCACAGGATGTGCTGGGTAGTGCTCCTGCAGGCTTGGTTCCTCTCACAGGACGTGCTGGGTACTGTTCCTGTAGGATCACAGTTGTGCACACCAATGCACAGGATGTTCCAGCCACAATTAACTGGGAGTGCAGTGGTCCTGACCCTAGTGAGCCAGGCACAGAGACCTGGTGCCAGGTGGGGATGGGGCTGGTGGGAGGATGGGGAGAGGCAGTGCGGCTAGAGTTCAGAGGCCCAGAGGCTGTAAGGTGGGCACTAAAGATGCAGTGCGAAGGGCTTGGAGCGGTGAAGGCAGAGGGAGGCCTTCCGCAGGCCACCCTGGGGCAGCACTAGTCACCGCCCAGGACCTGGCTAGAATCCACACTTGTTTCCTCTTCTGTAATGGAGAGGACACAGCCCCCTTCCTCTGGGGCTGTGAGGGGCAGAGAGCACATGTCAGTTACGCCTCTGAGAGCTCGAGGCTGGAAGCAAATCCTCAGCAGCATGGGAACAAAGTGCTGCTTCAGGTGCAGCAAAGTGGCCAGGATGGCAAGCAAGGAGAGGCCAGGACCTGCCCGGGGACGTGCAGGGCCAGGGGTGGCGGCACAGTGTAGACAGGAGAAGGAGAGTCCTGACCGCTCTCTTCAGCAGGGCAGCAGATCTCCCGCCTCCCCTGAGTGCCTCCCCTAGCCTGAGAAAACCATCACCGCCCAGCCCATTGCTAAGACCTGAGGTTCTGGTCCTGGCCAGGCTGGGGCTCCTGGCTCTGTGTGGAGCCATGGCTTTGGGCCAGGCAGGAGCCCCTCTCACCCCGCTACTTGTCTGCACTGCATTTGCTCCCTGCCACGCGGCTCCAGGCAGCAGAGCTCCCCAGCAGATCCACTGAAAGGCCGGCTGGGTACACGGCCAGACCACTCAGAAACACAGGCGGAACTGCGGCGTCAGGAGGGACCTCAGGGCGTTTGCAGCAAGCCTGGCACCTGGGGCACAGCTCAGGCCCCGAACCACCAGCCAGGGCAGTAAGCTGGGGTCAGGCATAGGTACTGCTGCCTGCCCGCCCAGCTCCGTGGAATCCTTGGCGTCCTGGGGACAGGGACAGGGAGGCGCTGCAGAACTCCAGCAGAGCAAGGTCTGCTTTCGGAACGGTCCCTTAACACCCAGCAGGATCACAAGTTCAAATGCAGCCTAGGCAACCTAGCCAGAACCTATTTCATGATAAAGTTTTACAAAGGGCTGGGAGGTAGCTCAGCACACCCGGGGTCCAATACCCAGTACTGCACATCAAGCAAGCAAGCCAGCACTCAGTGGACTAGATGGAGGGAATACCGAGGAAAGGAAACTCCAGAAAAACCGGAAAGCTGGACAGAACGTGGACACTCAGTGCCCAGGCCCCGCAGCTGCCCCGGGTCACTCACCAGCGGCGTGTCTCTTCCTCCCACGATGCTGATCCCCAGCCCGGAGTGGCCCTTGGAGATCTCTATGAGCATTTCCTGGCCCGGGATGATGGGGCACATGGCAGGGTCCACGGACAGAGGCACCTGAGGGCCACCTGGGGGCGAGGGCACAGGTGAGGACGAGTGGCTGGGTGCCCCGCTGCCCGCTCCCCCACGTCGGTGAGGGCTGCCCGGAAAGGCTGTGAGCTTGAATGTAACTAAAAGCCAGCAGGGAGAAGTAAGTGGCTCGGTGACTGGTACAGGAAAGCAAGTCATAATGGGAACAGGCTTGGATGGTACAAGATTCTGAGTTACAGAACACTAATCGAGAAGAAGCACAGATGCTCTCTCTTCCTTCCCCCTTCCTTTTTTCACGCTGCTGGGTTGAACCTCTGGCCTTGGAGCTGGGCTCATCCCAGACTCGCTTTGTTTGGTTTGGTTTGGTTTTTTGAGATGAGGTCTTGCCAAGTCACTAATTTGATCAGGCCAAGCTCAAACTTGCAGTGCTCCTGCCTCTGCCTCTCTAGTGCTGGGATCATAAGCGTGGCCCCCACTTACTTAAATATTTTCAGTTATAGCATGTTATGTGAATTAAGATGCCTAAAGGATTTAATGAAGTATGATATAACTGAAAATAACTACTTAAAGTCTACCTCCCAGTGGACTAGCTGAGCGCTGGTGACCACAGGTCTGTGACCGATGTGTGAGCTTTCCCAGGCAGGACTTTGCCTGCATGCGCGGAGCCCTAGGTTCCATCCTCAGTACTGCAAAATCGGAAGGCAAGAAAAAAGAGACAAAAGAGAATTCAGGTGGAAGCCACCTCAAGAGCCACATGCAGCTGTCACAGCAGGGCTCGGCCCGAGACAGCCCTTGGCCAAAATGGCATTTAAATTTTCAAATGGGAAAAAATCAGAAGAAACTATTTTGAGACATTTAAAACTTATATGAAATTCAGAAGCCAGTGTCCACAAAGCAAAGCCATATTGGAACACAGCCCACAATTCTTTCACTCAGTGGGCTCTGTCACCACTCCGGTCACCGCTCCAGGCCCCACACTGCATGCGGAGTTTAGTAGCTGCAACAGAGACTGCTCCGTGGCCCAGCCCGGCACATCCATGGGGTTGTCTGTGGAGGACAGGGAACAGGCTTGGGGTCGGCCTGCAAGCTCCGCTCTAAGCAGTGACAAAGGAGCCAGGTTTGTAGGGGCACAGAGTTGGATTTGGGTTCTTACCGCAGAGATCCATTTGGGGTGATCAAAAACCAAGGTGAACACTTAAATTTAAAAGAATCATTCTGGTAAAAGACACACCGACACGAATCCCCATAAATAACCCCTCGAATAATCATGCACACTCATCCCATCGCCCTTGCCACCTTCTGCAGCAGCTCTGCAGTCCTCTTTCCTGGGGGTCTTTACGAGTCTGGTAAAAATACAGTGAATGTGGCCGCCAAGAGCTATCCAAGGAAAGGCAGCTCGTAACACACGATGCTGTGTCCTCACGCACCTCAGTCACTGGATCTGCGACTTCTGGCTCTTCCCCAAAGGCAGGATAGCCACGAAGGGAGATGTTCTGAATCGATTCAGGACATGGAGGCCACCAGGACAGCACTGTCCCGTCCACACGCAGCTGTTACCCTAACAGCCTCCCTCGTGGGGAAGAACAGGGATTTAGGGCCACGGGCCTCAGTAACAACAAACCCCACCACATTAGAACACTGAGTTGCCAGCCTAAACTGCTTCTAGATCCTTTTGCAGCACATGTACTCCACACTGTTTCCTATTCATTTATAGTTTCAAGGGCGCTTTGAAAGGTCTGCGCTGCTTTATAAGCGGTGAGCTGGTGCTCCTGAGGGGAAAGAAAGTGCAGTGAGGGCGTTGCCAGCGACACCGCTTTCCTCCTCCCTGTGCCCTCTTGCCAGTCCTCTGTGGTGATTTCCTGCGCAGAATCCAGGCTGGAGCCTGGCTCAGACCAGGTGTCCAGGCAGAGTCTGGGAAGAGGATGAACACAGGACTCAAACTTCAGACTGAGTTGTGGGGTGGGGAGCTCCTGGTGAAGGCAGGCACGGCCAGTGCAGGCCATGCGGTCTCTGTCACAGCTACTTATCGGCCTGTCACAGTGAGGGCAGCCATGGACAACACACAGGCAAACGAGAGTCTCAATAAAACTTTATTTGTGGGCACTGAGATTTGAACTTCATATAATTTTGTATGAAATATGCTTTTGAATTTTCTCAATCTTTAAGAACGTGGAAACCACTTGAAGGTCACAGACCAAACAAAAACAGGTGGTGGGCATCATTTGGTGCACGGGCCATAGTTCCCGGATCACATTAATCACGTATTCTACCATCAATCCAGGGCTTTAGATCACACCGACTTTCCAAACCTTTTATAAGGAGTTAACATGTATGAAAAGCATATGAAAGAGAAACACCCCGCCGAATTAATGCAGGGGTAAGCTCTGCCACTGGCCAGGTGGGCTTTAGGGAACCCACTCCTCAGTGATTAATACTGCATAACCACAAGGTGGAAAAGCCCCTTCCTCACTGTGAGGTTCTATTTCAAAACTGCCATCAGCATAATTGCCCAGCCAGGGCTTTAAAGGCAGAAGTAGAACACGAATGCCGCTTTCTGCAAGCTCTGAAAAGAATTCTCCAAGTAGCTTCATCTACGTACACAGAGGACACCGTCACAGGCGTCCGTGAGCTACGGAAGAGGAGGGCCGGGGAGCCAGGTGTCACAAGTTGGTTCTGCCAGGGAAGGGACCGTACCGTAGCTTGCGACGGCAGCCTCTGCCGTGGGGCACGACGGGACCTCCTGAGAGCCCAGTGAGGCGCTGGTCCAGTGGCTTTGCTCTCGCATCTCACTGGCGTCCTGAGAAAGGAAGCAAAAGTGTGAACGTCGAGGAGGAGAGAGGCGAGAGCGGACTTCACCGGCCGAGTTCTCGCCAGAGCTAGGTGAGCTCCGGCAGCGTCTCTGGGGGAAAGGTGGGTGCTCCCCCACTGCGGGCGTGGTCACAGCGGGGAGGGACCAGGGACCGGCAGAGCCTCATTGTAGCCCACGTGGGAAGGAGAACACTCTCCCAGTCTGCTTCGTGCTAGGCATAGGGTGGTGTCGGGCTCTCCTGGGGCCACTGAGCACAGGAGAGGGCAGGAGGGGACAACGGAAGCCCACGAAGTGCCTGCCTGCCGCCCTTCACACCGGGCCCAGGGACCGCAGGACCCCACACGCGTGTGACGACTGAGAGCACAGGCGCGTGGGAAACTCGGGGGAGGGGAGCCTGCAGTTCAGCGAGGACGTGGGGATTTGGCTGGGCCAGCTCTGGAAAACGAACTCGTCACTCCGACCAGACCTTCAAGGGGCATCAGTATTTCCAAAGCAGTGCTAAGAAAAGCCAAGAGGATGCTGCTGGTCACCTCGTAGAGGTCAAGAAGCACAGGCAGTCACCGGCTGCTGGCTCTGGGTCTGCAGTCGGGGAGGCTGGGAGCACCAGGTGCCTGGGGGCTGAGGCCACGGCCACCGTGCAGACCCAGGACGCTGCTCTGTGCCCACCTGGGGTCTGCACAGCGCTTTCCCGCTTCCAGAACACCTCACAGCAGGAATGCACTCCACCCAGGACCCGAGTCAGATAGCATCATGCGTCCTGCCGGTAAACTGAGATGGGCGTTAGGTGATGGCTCTGGAACACAGCTCATGAGAGGCAGGCGGGAGCAGAGCCCCGGGGGAAGGGCAGGGTCGGGATGCAGGAGCCAGGCCGCTGGTCCTGGACGAGACCGGTGCCCACCGACAGGGCAGCGCAGCCTGGACTCCGATCGCAGGCTCGTGTGTGGGGAGTCATGGGCTCAAGTGGCCGGGGACGCCTGGGACAGGCTCGGCAGTCACGCCGGTCCTGGGGAAATGTCTGAGAGGCCACTGGGGACGCCGCGCTCTGAGGAGTCAAGTGTCAGGGGCTCAGGACCCAGCACCCGAAGGTGTGAGTCATGTGACCCTGAGCAGGTGCTTGGACCCCTCAGACCGCAGATTCCTCACTCACAAAACAGAAAGGAAAAACACCGGGTGTGGTGGTGCACACCCGGCATCCCAGCGCTCAGGAGGCCGAGGCAGAACTGCAAGTTCAAGGCTGGCGTGGGATGCACAGTGAGTTCAGGGTCAGCCTGAAGTACATTAGCGAGACCCTGTCTCAGACAAAAAAACGTGAAAAAGAAACTTTTTTAAAGAAAGTAACAGCCCTTAGTGTTGTGCCAGGGTGAAGGCAGGCTCTGGACGGTGCCGGCAGTGACTGCACTCACGGTCCCCACCCGCTCCCTCCCCAACTTCCTGCTCCCCAGGCAGCCTGGCTGCATGGCGCAGGCGCAGGCTTGGGCACCTGCCCGCTCTCCTACTCGGTCCCTCACACCCAGAGCGACAGGCCACCCTCAGAGCCGGGGCCCTCGGGCCGCAGATTCTGGACTTCAGGTCTCCGAGCCCCGAGCCCCGGGGGTTTCAGAGCCAGCAGGTGAGACTGCCGGAAGGCGCTGAGGTCCAGGGGCCCTGGAGTGAAAACTCCCGGCCGCTGCACACACATGCGTCGCACTGCTGTTTGCTGCTGTGGCCCAAGCGGTTCCCTGGGCGTGACTGGGGCTCTGCCCGGCCCGGCCTGGTAACCAGCAGGGACAGCGCGACAGAGCCCTACGGCATGGCACGGAGCACCAGGACCCGGGGCCTGGCTCGGCTCCTGCTCCGCACCGCCGTGAGACCGGGCCCAGAGGGCTGAGGCCCAGCGCACAGAGGCTGGCCACGCCTGTGCCCGACGCCAGCCGAGCTCCGTCTGCACTGTCCCCTTTCAGGGACGCTCATCCGCACGTCAGTGTCTTACGTTTTGAGGCGCCGTCTAACCGTCCCGGCCAGCCTCAACCTGGGCTCCCGTGATCCTCCCGCTTCAGCCTCTTACGTAGCTGGGATTGTGGGGTGCACCAGTATGCAGCCGAGACTCCCTGAAAGTCGCCTTTGAGCCATGGCTGCGGGCTCCGGGCCTCAGTCAGTCCCTTCCTGGAGGCAGGCAAGGCGGCAGTGGGCAGAGGGAGCCCACTCGCCTCTCACCACAGCCTGGCCCGGGTGCTGGTCATGGAGCCACAGGGTTTCATGTCTGCTCTGGGGATTGTGGACTTGCTTTAGTTTGATTTTGTTTATCCCTGTTACTTCCACTTGGAATGGAATTGTCTGGCCTGTGTAGTCTGCCTTGGGTCTCACAGGAGCCTTTGGACTTACTTTTCAGCAGTGCTGGAACCGTTGACTTTGGGCTAAATGCACCTTGCAGAATGTCCCCAAGCCTCACATGCTCAGAGGTGGGGCCCAGGGCTGCCCTGCAAGGCCACATTGTCCAACTCCCCCTTTCTCTCTGGAGAGAGCAGCTGTTTTCTGCCACCCCTGTCCACTGGACAATGCCCAGCTGGCCGTGGACTGGCCCTCCCTGAAGCACGAGTGAAGGCAAACCTTCCTGCTCAGCCAACGGGAAAGAGGGCCGGCGAGACCTGGGCACTCAGTTAACAGCCGCCTCTGCGCCAGACTGCAGCACCGCCAGCATCTGCGGCCACCTGCTTCCTCGGAGTGGCCTGCTTACTGCCTCCTGTCAGTCAGGAAACTGAGGCTTATGAAGTCGCACAGCTTGGCCAAGACCACACTCTTCACCGACGCCATGCCGGCCGTGTACACGCACGCTGTAAGCATTGTCCGAACTGGACTCTTTCCTCCTCTGCCAGGCTATGCACAGATCCTACCCGAAGTGGGGCCAACGGGATTTTAGGATAGCAGAGGGCGGGACCTCTGAGGCTGGCCATGATGTCTTAGCTTCCGGGAGTGAGGACAGCCCCACCCCCTTCCCCTGTGCAGCCGAGGGTCCTGGCACAGCTGTGCTGCTTCCTGGGCTGTGCCTGCGGCACCTGCAGACCCACGGCCCAGCAGAGCAGGCGGAAATCCCCCACAGCCGCTTCCCGCGTGACACAGCGGAGGTTACCATCCTCCCTTCCAGAAGGGGTCGTGGATGCCCCGTTCCAGAGGTGGCCCCAGGCACGTGCCACTGGGCCACACCAGGGTCTCTGTTCCAGTATGGCTGGGAGGAGCCCCTCCCGCCCGGAACCCCCTTCCATCCCGCCTGGGGGCTCGGCTCCCTCTCTAGCCCTGGAGTCTGGCCAGGCCCAACACGCTCCTGCAACATTGGCACAAGACCTTGGGTGACTTCCCGCACCCCGAGGGGCACAGAGACTCCCAGCTGCCCACACCAAGGACTGCTGGAGAGCCATCCTTGGAGGCCTGGACATCGGGATGCACAGCAGAAAGTCCCACGTTCCCTCGGGATCTGCAGCCCAGCCCCGCAGGCAGGCGCGGTTACGGGACAGGAAGGTCAGCCAGGGCTCGGGCACCGCCCAGCCTCTGCGGACCAGTTAACCACTCCCCAGTGTCCTCTGCATGACAGAGACAGCAGCGCTGGCTCAGTGAGTGGCACAGTGGGAGGCCAACCAGGATGCCACCACGCTGGGGTCTGTGACCGGCCCCAGGGCAGCACACGCAGTGCCGCAGACAGACCATGCACCGATGGGCTCGGGTGGGGCGCTGCTCACCTGTGTGGAGCGCTGGCCCTCGGGCAGGGCTTCTTCGCCGGCTCCCAGACCACCATCGTCTTCACCACTGAGAGGCTGGGCACCATGCGTGTCCTGCAGGACATGGGGAGAGAAGGCAGAAACATTATCCCTGCAACACCTGCCACACTCAGCCCTAGGCGCTGGACATGGTCTGCTCTGCTCTGGGAGTGCAAGTCAGACCCGACAATTTTGCCAGGAACTGGGACTTGGGAATGGGCTCTGTGGTCCTGGTCAATGAGGAAAAAGAAAGGTCATGGGAAAGTTATTCCTTTATCGTAAGGAAGCCACACAAGGCACCGTTCCTCCACCAGAGCCAGAAAACAGGGTGCCCATATTGCTGTCCCCAAGAACAAGGGGATCGGCCACCAGAAGGAGCCAGTGTAGTGGCTGACAGGGGCAGAGATGGGAAGACCAGGTTGGAGACAGATTCACGCGCAGTGGAGTGTGACGAGATCTCAGACCGCACTTCCCAAGAAGGCCCTGATCTCCCGATGCTCTCTGTCCTATGGCTCCTTTCCCCACAGGTCAGTACTAGCTAAGAAGCTGGACTTCGTGGTCCCACAGGATCGCTGCAGGCTGACCTGGTCATAACACGTGTGCCTCTGCTGTGCAAATCACCCTGACCACGGGCCTCGGCAGCTACCCCTCAGAGCCCATCCCGACATCCAGGAGCTGTTCTTCTCCTTTTTCCAATAAACTCCTAACTCCCCACTGGTTCATGACCTCAGTCCACGGTGTCCTGAGGCCATGGACTGGGCGCATCTGACAGCCAACAGGCGGGAGTTACTTTCCCAAGCACCACCGCCTCCATCGGTGGGCAGTGCCTCCATCCTGCTTCTCTTCTGCGGTGTGCGCCGGAGGCTGTGCTCTGCTGCTGGTTTCTGAACCGTGCACCTTGCACCAGGCCTGGCACCAGAGGCCGTCTGACAAGCACTGGCTGAACTAATGAATACAGTATTTGTTTTATGGTTTTTTCCTGCAGAACTCTAAAAATACATATTTATTATAAATGGGACATCTGGTGATAAGAGGGCCAATTACAAATTCTCAAACACCTGAGGTGTATCCTCGTATCCTCAACTGAATTACGGGGTGATAAATGCTCCAGGCAATCCACCAGAAGTTTCTTTTCCTTTTAGGGGACATAGGAAGAGAGTCATAATACACAGAGAAGCCACTTGGTACTTGTCGGGATGTTTGTTTTAAATTTCCACCACCCTGGGGTTGTGGGATGGTTTATAAGAAAACAGTGGGGATTTGAAGATATTCAGTCTCACTTGAAATTTAAGATACACAAATTAAAGCAAAAATATAGCATTCTTTCAGCTATCAAATGGAAAACAAATCAGAAAAGGAACACTCAGGATCAAGAACATTGCAGAGAAGTAGAAAAGAGAGAAGATAACTAGGATAATCTGCAGAAAAACTCCATGTATATGAATACAGATGTACACTCAAGCAAAGTGTCTGCACGCACACAGGACAGATTTTAAACTTACTCGTGGGGAGTGGACTGGGGATGGGGACCTTGTCACGATTTCCTTGTTTGCCTGATTAGAGAACAGTTAGCATAAACTGTGGCATGAGGTACATGGGACAAACCCGGAAACAAACAGGATCTGAGGAAAAGCAGGCCGGACTGGAGAACTGGCTCGAATCTCGATTTAGCCTTGCAGAATTGTACAATCTGGGCAAGGTGCTTGGAAATCTGAGTACGAGGCAGCACAGACATGCGTGTCTGCGGTGCCAGCACTCCGGAGGCTGAGGCAGAAGGACTGCAAGAGCCCAGGATTCTGAGACCACCCTAGCAGCACAGCGAGAGCCCATCTGAGGACAGCCACGTACGGCGGCCAGCACACAGCACAGTGTGCAGTACACACAGCACAGATCACAAATGACTGGGTACTGGTTCATGTATCTACTGCACTATGCTTTCTATCATTAGACACTTGTGTGTATCTACTACCATGTATCACACTTCCTGATACTATTATCTTATTAAAATCAGACTTGGCATAAAATAATATGTGGTTTCATGCCAACAATGGCACCATACATCTCACCCTGTCTCTTTCTCTCGGTCCCAGAGACTGAACCCAGAGGTTCTCGACCACTGGTGACTCCCCAGCCGTTTTGAAATTCTGTTTTGGGACGGAGTCTCACAATGCTTCACAGGCTGGCCTCAGACTTCGGTCCTCCTGCCCCAGCCTCTCGAGTGCCGGGATTACAGGCATGCAGCGCCACTCCCAGCTCCTGTCTCCTAGCTGCCTCACGTTCCTGTGTTCGATTCACCTCTGCTTCCGTTCAGCGCAGCCTTAGGAGCAATGGGCTGCTCTTTCTCTCCGCGCATGTGCACACACGCATACGTGCGTGCCGGTCCTCTGGAGAAGGGCGCAGTAAGATGTTCATACGAGGGCAGCGTCTCCCGGCAGCTCCTCTCCGGATGTCCACGGTCCCTGGGGCGCAGGACGTGTGGGCTCAGCAGTCTGCCTCAGTTACCCTGCAGACTGGTGAGTTCATGGGAAGCGTCTGCTTGTACAGCAGCAGGGCGTTAACTTTTGTTTCTAAATTTCCAGTTTTTTTGCAGTACTGAGGAACAAACCCGAGAGCCACATCCCTGGCCCTTGAGGTGGGCTCACTGTGCACCCAGATGGGGCCTGAACTAGAAAATCTCCTGCCCTTGCTGCCCTAAGGGCTGGTCTCATCCCGCACCTTCTCTTGTCTTCCTGACAGCGCTGAAGGAGCTTAGGCCTTTGCGACCCCAATTCAGGAGCAGAAGCAGGACCCTGGTGCTCACCTGCTGGAGGACTGTGAGGCAGCAAGAGAGGGTCCAAGAGCGAGGTGGGACCACACTGGCCCAGATGAGCGATGCTCCCACCCCTCTCTCTCTGTGTCCAGGGTTAGTGCTGGTTACTAATCTCACAATATTTGAAAAATGAGTGTCATAAAACCATGGAATTTTTCTTTTTTTGAGACAAGGTCTCACTATGTAGTCCAGGCTGCACTTGAACTCACTGCAGTTCTGCCTCAGCCTCCCGAGTGCTGGGATCATAGGCGTGCACTACCGTGCTGGGTGACACCATGTGTTCTGAGGAGCACTTTGGCAAGTCTTAACGGGAGGTTCCATGGGCTAGGACAGCCTCTGCAGAGGAGCTCTGGGTGATCCAGAGGCTGCCATCTAAACAGGCCTCTGCTGAGAATAAATGAAAACAGATTTTCACATGCTGGGCAGCGGGCCAGTTTAGAGGCAGCAAAGCTCTGAACAGATGAATCACTCTTTCCGGGTCAGCATTTCACCTATGCTGGGGAGGGTGGACATTAGCTCCGTGGGCCGCAGGGCAAACCCCAGCAGCCCTGACTGGACGTGTGTGTGTGTGTGTGTGTGTGTGTGTGTGTGTGTAAGTGTACACGTGCCCCCATGGAACCCAAGGACCCTTTCCTTCTGCACTGTTCAGCCACCTGAGGACAGAAGATGAGACTTTCAAGGCTCTTCTAAGAAGAGTAAGAATGAGGAGACAGCTGCGGTCACATCGATGCTTCAGCTTGGGAAGTGCAAGGGAAGGCGGGTGAAGCAGGTTAGCTCCGAAGATCTCACACCCTCGCCCAGCCTCAGGGGTCAGGGGAGAAACTGCCCGTCCCAAATGCCACCCCACACCCGCCCTGCGCGGAAGCGGCCCCCACAGAATGGGGTGTGCAGCGGCTGTGATCTCTCCCCTGCTTGTCTCCCTCCTGCCTTTCCCTGCGCGCTCTCCCTGTAACTCTCCTCTCTGCTCTCCACTTGCGAGGAGGATCGGGAGGTGGAGGCGGTGGAGGGGTGGGCGGGCAGCAGCAGTCCGGTCTCTGTGGAAGGGAGCCGGAGGCGGGGCCTGCTGGGCACACAGGCGGCACGTTGGAGGGGCCCAGGACACCGTCCAGCTGGTCCGCAGCGGGATCTCCCGGGGACACACGGCCGACACCACTGATCCAACACTGCTTCCCGTCTCCCGCCGACCCGCACACCAGCAGCCCAACGCTGGCTGCTGGCCAGGCCAGCCACCTCCTGGGCACAGGACGGCATGGGCACCCCGTCTCCCCGAGGTGCCTGTAGGCGCCGCCCAAGCCCTGGAAGAGGGACGTCGCTGCTCTGCTGCTGTCCTGCCGGGTCTCATGGCCACTGCTGTCCACGCTGTCCTCCAGGGGGGCGCCTTCATGATGTCTCCCTCCCGCGCAAGGCTGGCTCTTCTGCCTGGCTGTGTTCCTCGCGTCCTCACTAGCACGAGGCAGGAGTGTGGGTGCACAGTGTCTGTGGATTCGAGACGCCACTAGGCAAAGGAAATGAACCAAAACTGCAACTGCACCTCCCTCGAATAATGAAAATTTCTTTATTTGTAAGTAAATCTGCTGCTGCTGTAAATTCTGCCATCCGCGTATTTCCTAAATCCAACGCTCGTTTCACAACACAAAATGACTGATTCCCTCACTGCGTGTCAAGTCCACACGAGTTTCCTTCTGCAGAGCCATGTCCGCCTCCTGGACGTGACAGATCAGGTTTCTCTCTCTTACCCACAATCGTGACTGTGTGTTTATTCCCAGAGCGCAGCGCAGCGCAGCTGAAGGGGCAGCGGGGGCTGTGCTGGTGCCGCTCCCCGTGGGCAGCCTGGCCCTCGAGGCACGCCAAGGACAGAACGCGGGACCAGGGAGATGCAGGTGTGCACTGCTGTCTCCAAGCGGCCTGGCTCCCGCTCCCCAGGGTAGGGTCCGAGTCTCACCCAGCTCCACCTGTGCCTGGAGCCTCTCACGGCGCCACACTGCTGGAAACACCGGCAGCAGCTCCCAGGCCTGAAGCAGGAAGTCAAGGCTCCTCAGGTTCGAATCCTGGTCCTTCTCCTTCGATCTCGGGTTATTTTCAAATTCACCGACCGTTGTCTCCCTTCCCAGGAGTATCTGTGACACTCTTCTGCCCCTTGCACACTGGCTTTTGTTGCGTGTATGTGTGTGTGATCACAGATACATGAGTGGTATCCAGTGCTTTATTACGCATTAATGAGGACAGAAAGTGATTCGTGATTTCAAAGGTAAACATGCAGCCTTCATTTCCTAACTTTAACCTTGAAAGGAGGATTTGGTCCAACAAGAATGAAATTTAATATGACCGTTGGGAACCCAATATGGAAGAAACTCAAAGAATTAACAACAGAGCCCCCACAGGGTCCTGTCCTTATTTCACCGGATAAGAATCGCAGGAACAAAGTCAGGGCGCTGAAGCGGTATCTGGACCCCATGTGCTCACAGCACTACTCCCAACAGCCTGCCTTCCTGCCTTCACTTTTCAGTCTTGTTTTTTGAGACAAGTCTTGCTTTGTAGCCCAGGCTGGCCTCAAAGGCATGGTGATCCTCCTGCTTCAGCCTCCGGAGCACTAGAATTACAGGGTGTGCAGCCACGCCCAGTGCTTTTTGTTTTGTTTCAGTTTCCCTCCTTGTTCCCCCTTCCCCCACTGGACCCAGCCGCAGTCCGTCTTGACTCGCGGTGTTACTCAGTGTCCAGACTGAGTCTGACACAGGTTGTGCGGTGTGTTCCGAGCACGGATGAGCGATGGCAATGAGGGTGCGCTGCACACAGCAGCACAAGTGGAGCCGCGCAGGAGCAAAGAAAACGCAGAAAAAAAGAAAAAAAAAGCACTCCCAGCAGCGATTGACCTTTCTTCTAGTACTTCTGCAATATAAACAGTAAGCATGCGTTTCCTTTTGGAATTAAACAACAATTCAAGAAACAGCAGACGTGAAGGGAATGGATACTCCTCACTCAGGCTCTCCCCCAACCCAAACTCCACCGTGCTCCTAAATCCGGAGCTCCTGGGGCAAGCACTGGCACCTGGGCCACGTGACATGAAGCGGGGAGAGTCCACGCTGGCTTTGGGTTCTGTCCACAAGGCCCCTCTTCACGCGCATGCACATTCTGTACGTCTGCAACAGTCTGGGTCCAGCACCTCAGGTACGAGGCACGCAACCGGACAGCAATCTCATGCCCTCTCGGCCTCTCTCTCTCTGTCTCCTCGGTCTCTCTCTTTCTCCTGTCCACAAGCTTAGATGCAAACCAGTACTACAGCAATCTTGTTATTCTGAGTTTCTGCATTAGTAGATGAAAGCAACTATTTAGATGCAACGAGCACAGGTACTGAAGTACTCTGAAACCACAAAAGGGATAGAATTCGATCATAAAACAAATGATTGTCTATAACTTCTGGAATGTGCAGTAAAGATGGTAAGCAATGCCGCAGAGGGGAGTCCTTGGCCAGGGCCCGCCAGGTTTGAGACGCCAGCACACGTCACTCCGCACTGACACCTCGGATACTCCCTGCTTCCGTCAGGGAGGTCTGCTGGGCGGGCACACTGTGCTCGGAGCACGGAACACTGGGCTGTGCCAAGCCCGCGGGAAATGCCCAGCACTAGGACACCAGGAACCGGCTCCGAGCGCCTTACCTGGACGGAGCACGGCGAGCTGGACGGCAGCGGGGGCACGGCCATCTGCTGGATGGCGTCTTCGTTTCTGTGAGATGGAGAAAACACGAGGGTCAGGACAGGGACACACTAGGCTCTTGGGCCGAGTTACTGCGCGCCTGGGCACCATGGTGAGAACCACAGCACCACTTAGCTAAACCAATGGCTTCCAAGTGCGCAGAGCTGCCAGAAACAGAGGCCCTGCCCGGAGGGAGGCCAGGGCAGTGCCAGCCACAGCGGGAGGGAAACGGCGCCCACACCTGGAGCACGTGGCTCTGGGAGTGCGAAGGTCCTGGTATCCTCGCTGGCTGGATCCCCCATGTGCTGTGTGCGGACTCAGCCTGCTGTGTCGCCCCAGGGCAGTGGACACCCAGGGTCCTGCAGGGCCGCTTTTTCCACAGCATAAACCAAGGAAGCCCACCGAGGCAAAGACCTGAGGGCTGGGACGGCTCAGGTTCAGGGGTGGAGGGCTGCCTGGAGCGCGTGACGCCCAGTACACTCGTACACACACACCACGCTGCGGCTTCACAGCTCTCCGTGTAGAGGCAGCCCGTCTGCCCGGCCAGCGTTGAGGCCCCGTCTCAGCTCTTATCTCTCACTGACCGGATGTCGAGGGCCAGGCCCCGGTCATCCCTGCGGTCTGCTCAAGCCCGTCCTCCGGGGAGCCACGGCCCCACGCCCACAGACTGCCTGTGTCCCGTCCCCTCACGCAGCATGGCCCCTGGCTATGGGTCTGCACATCTAACCCCCGCCTTGTCTGTGCTGGTGTCTTTCGAGCACCTCAGAAAAAGGAAAAGCATTGAGCTGCTCGCACCCTCAGCTCCTGCGGCCACTGCTCCCGCCAGAGTGGACCCCACAACACCTGCCCGTTGTTCAGTGAGCCACTCAGAGCTGTCCTGAAACCTCTCGGCCAGTGGGTTCTGCCTCCACCTGTGAAACACATCTCAGCCGCTCCACTGCCCTCTCCAGCCCGCCCTGTGCCTGCAGCTGGCTCCCTCTACCCTGGCTTCTCCTCGTCCTGGGCCAGGGCGTCGGCCTGAGGGACCCTGACGGCTAGTGGCTGGCACTTCTCCCACGGGAGAGATGTTTGTGTTATGATTAATCTCTGCTTTCCATACAACTGTCCTGGGTTTCTTAGGCACAGGGGCCCACGCAGACCACGGTGGGGAACTACCATCGCCGGCTGGTGTCTTCACAGTCTGTCCTCTTAGAGAGAGTGGGAGGATTCAGATCTAGAACTCATCACACCTCTCCTGTGCTGGGGCGGAGCTTTCAGAAGTGCTGGGATCCAGGGTGGGGTGCTGTTGGAGGCGGGGCCTGGGCAGAGGTGTCCCTGAGGAGAGGCCTGCAAGGGCTCTGCTCCCTCCCCAGCTCCATCCCCGTGACCCCCCTTTCCCAAGCGCTGGGGATTGAAGCTACACTCACAGCCCTTTTGTGTTTTAATTTTGAGACAGGCTCTAAGTCACGATTGCCGTCTGATCTAATTAGTAGACTGATTTACACAAATCTCTTTTGGATAACCTAGAGGTCAGGCACCAAGCCAGGATAAGAAGCACCATTACTGGCTTGAGGGGGAGGAGGGGCCTGGAAGGGACATGGGGGCTCCCGCGCTGGAAGTAGCCGCCATCTGGGAGCCAGCCAGCAGGGTCCAACGGGGGACCCTGCAGTGGACCCTGATAAGCACAGTGCCTGAGTTCTGCCAGGAGAGGCCCAGCAGAGAGACTGTCATGGAGGTTCAGACGTGGAGCCTCCCGTGGGTGCAGCCTGAAGCCAGTGAGGGTGTGGCGATTCCTCACACAGCAAGAGGAAACAGACGCACAACCCACGCTTTTGCTCTGGAAACCACAGGCACTAGCAACAGCTTTGTGAGCCTACACCTAAGTGCTGATCGTGATTATTTTCTTCTTTTTCTCTATTTTATACAGAGGTTAAGTAACCTGACCAAAGTCACAGAGCTCGTAAGTCAAAGCTAATCAACAGCTGAGACTCAGAACCTACTCTTAACTACTATATTAGCATTTTCGCTTTTAACAACTGCTTCGAGAACCACACACACCTTGGCTGAGACTCCACACCCGCCTTGGGGAAGGCGATGCTCCCTGGCAGTGAACTCCCCAGGCCACTTCAGACGCTCCCTGCGGGAGAGTCAGACAGACAGACACACACACACACACACACACACACACACACACACACACACACACACACACACACACACACACGGTTCCCCAATTCAGTTGCAGCGTCACGTCTACGTCATGCTGCCCATGTACTGACCCCATGACTGTAAAATGCTCTAACACCTGTTGTTCGAAACAGTCTGCCACAGGGCGGGGCAGCAGTGAAGGCGGCCCTGGGATGTGATTCCCTCTGCCTCTGCACAGCTCCGGGGCTGGTCCTGATCCTCTGCTTTCCTGTTTCCCCCATAAGCCGTTTCCCTTCCCGTATGGCAGTCATGGAGACTGTGCTGACGTCCGCGGCCCGGCCGCCTGGGTGAGGCTGGCTGAGTGAACAGGGAGGAACATGAAAAGGAGCCTTTGCTGTTTTGCGCCACTGATCTGGGGCTGTCTGTACTGAACTGTAACTGAGTCCACAGGACTCCGCTGTACAACGATCTGCGAAGCCGTGTGCACTATATCCGTAACACCTGCTGCCCACCGGCGGGGGTGACGAACGGGTGGACAGACGTCTGCCGCACAGAACACAACGTTTCTCAGTCACTAAAGGACCAAACTCTGTGGACAAACCTCAAAACGTCATTCAGAATGCCGGCAATCAGATGCAAAGCAGAAAGCACTGCTGGCTTCCACACACACAAAGTCCAAGCCCAGTGAACTCTGACCAGCGGTCAGGACTCAGGAGGGCCGTGCCAGGCCTGGAGCGGGAGAGGCTGGGGCAGCTCCCACTGACTCCCGAGCGTGGATCTTCTGTTTCATGTTCACAGAGATTCCATGTGTGTGCCACGACCAGAGTTCAACACACACAGCCAGCACACAATTTAACAGAAGTGCACAACTGTATAGTAAGGCGACTACGCTGCCCTAGAAAGAATCCAGACAAAGGTTCAAATTACGCCACTGATCACTCTTGATCACTGCAATTTTCATCACTGAAATACTGCATAACTTTTAACCATCATGGTTTCTTTTTTCTTTCCCTCTAGTACTGGGGATCAGATCCAGAGGTGCTTTAGAACTAAGCTACATCCCCAGCACTTCTCATTTTTATTTTAACAATTGGAGATAGGCTCTTGCTAAGTTGCCCAGGCTGGCCTCAAACTCAGCAATCCTCCTGCCTCAGCCTTCCCAGTAGCTGGGGTTAGAGGCACGAGGCACCACACCTGCCTTCAATTTTGGTTCCTTAGCCTACAAAATCTGGACAACGACTAGGATTGTGGTCAGGTAATGCAAATGTCAGAGCACAAAAACCACATTTTACGTAGTGTTTTCTGATTTTGTGACGTGCAGTCTGAGGTATCTGAACTGCTGGTTGCTGGGTCCTCAGCTCTGTTAATTCTTTTAGCCGTCGACTGGGAAAGTCACCAACTTGCCTGGCTTCTTCTTATAAGAGCCTAACTGAACTACAGCGACTCCACATTGACCAGCAAGTGACCCAGAGACTGTTGTTCCTCCCCACCCCTTACAGGGTAACTAATGATTAATTGTGAATTATTAGGGAACTGCTTGGGAGTAGCTGGGAAACTAAAATGAAACTGTAACGAACATAGAGATCCCAGATCAATCACTCCACTCCTTACTTGCCTGTAATTGAATGTTCTGGACACCACAATCTAAGTTGTAAATAGAACAATGGATAATCAATCTGCTGATCGTTAGTACGTAACGGTCGAGTACATGACTGATGACCAACAGCTCAGATCAAATGGCCACTTGCCTTTGTCCCCTTCCTATAAGTTTTGAGTGTAAACCCCCCTTAGCCCTATATAAAATGGCCTCTGACTCTGAGCTAGCCGCCTCTTTGAGCTACTTGGCTCCGGGAGTGCCGTCTGGCCAGACTAATAAAGGTCTGTTTGCCAACCTGCCTGGTGTGTTCCTTCCTGGGTGACTTTCGCTGTCCGATAAGCTCCTGGAGCCTCGCTGAACTTCTGGCCTCAGCATCGTGGAGGCCTCTTAGCTGTTCATGCTCCAGGAGTAAAAGGGAGACTTTAAGGCTTACACTTCTGAAGGCTCTGTTCTCCCTTCGAGCCCCGCGGCCCCTTCCTAATTCCCGTGCTTTCCGAGCTGCCTGGACCTGACAGGAGTCCCCAGCACTGCCTCCTTGTTCTGCTTCCCCTGGGCGCTGCCCTCTCGACCGTGAACACAGCGGTGGGACGAAGCCGAGGACAGAGGCCAGCGTTCCCCGCCAGCGTGCCCTTGGCCAGTGCTGGCTCTGCCTGGCACACAAGTTACCTACTGGCTGTCTTCTAAACTCTCGGAGAACTGCTCAACTGTGTGTCCTTACACGGCATCTGCCAGGCAGTCGGAGCTCGGTAAATACTTCCCTTCGGTGCTGAAGTCGGACTCAGCTCTGTCCTGCATCTGCCTACCCCAACAGCTCTGAGAGCAACGATCGCGCTCCAGATTCCTGAACCACTCCCACCACTGTCCTGGCAACGTCCTTCTGTCCATCCGGGACACTCCGTCCTCAGAGGCACTCACTGGTCACATGCACAGGCTTGTTGATATAATTATGTATCTCAATTAAAATTCTACCCACAATTCAGGCTGCAGTAAGAGACTCATTAACCTGTTATTTGAAGCACTAGCCCAGCAGCCCTTGACTAACTCCCTAGGATAAATACGGGGCACTCTCTCCTAAATAAACTATAAAAGAAATCTACAAATCATGGCAGAAAGAAAAATTAGTGGGCTATAAAGACAACACACTTATGTCTCCAGGAAGCTCCACAAACCTTTAACAGTTTCTGAGTGAGAGAAATAAGTTAAGATATTGGATATGATATTTTTCATTCATCAAGATCTATTGCCAAGGAACATTTCTACTTTCTTTTAAAAGATGAAAGTGTGTTCTATTCCAAAATTATTCACAGAGAATTGCAAGAGACCCCAAACAGCCAAAACAATACAGAAAAAAAAAAAAAAGAACTAGTTGGGGGTGTTGCCCTTCTGACTTCAAAACTTACAACGAAGCTACAGCAGGCAAGGAAACATGATGCTGGAAAAGCTATTCACGTGCAGAACAATGGAACTGGATGCTTCCTTCCTTCACATCACTGTAAAAATAAATCCAGTGGATCAAAGACCCACATAGAAGAGCTACAACTATAAAACTCTTAGAAGAAAACACTTGGTGCCTCTGCTTGGTGAGGCCGACTTTGATTATGACTTCTTGGAAATGACATCAAAAGCACAGGCAACTTGGGGCCTGGGATTTAGCTTAGTGGTTCCGCCACCTGCCTTACAAGTTCAAGTCCTGAGTTCAATCCCTGGTCCCAAAAGAAAGAAAGAAAGAAAAAAAAAAAAGCACAGGCAATAAAAGTGAAAAGAGACACACAGGACCATGTCAAAATGCACAGCTTTTGTTCATCAAACGCAACCAAGAGAGTGAAACGGCCGCCCGTACAATGGGAGAAAGTATCTGCAAACCACATCTCTGATAGGGTAACAATCTAAAGACATAAACACCCCCATTACTCAAAGATAATAAGAAAACATGAAACCCGATCTAAAAGCCGGAACGAACCTGAACAGACATTTCTGCAAAGGAATCCATGACAGCCCATCACCCCGTGGAGAGCCGCTCACGGCACCAGCCGATGCCACTGTGCGCTCACCAGGGCGGCTGCTGCTAAGACGACACAGAACAGGAGCATCGGCAGGGGTCTGAAGAAACAGGGCCTGCGCGCCTGGTTGGTGGGGAGCAGAAAGGTGCAACTGCCGGGGAAAACAGTGTGGGGTGCCACGAAACTACAAAGGGGCAACCCTACGTCTTAGTTACTTTTCTCATTACTGAGACAAAATACTCAACACTCAAAGTTTTTTTTTTTTCTGCACTAACAGGGATCAAACTCAAGACCTTGTACTTTTGAGGCAGGTGCAGTGCCACTGACTTAAACCCTTAGCCCTCAACACTCAAAGTTAAAGGAGAAAAAGTGTGTTTAGCTCAGTTTGTAGAGGTTTCAGTCCATAATCAGCTATGTCCAGGCGGGACAAAATGGCAGAGGAGAAACACTTCATGGCAGGCAGAAGGCAGGAAGGCAGCAAAGCAGCAGAGGAACAATCAGCCAGCAGCAAGGGACAAGGGCCACAGCAGCCCCCTTTCTGCCCCTTATATTCTGCCCAGGCCACACACCCTTAGGGTGTGGCACCCCATTATCCACACCCTGAACTAAATGGACTAATTTAGTGCCACACACCCTGGATCCTAGCATCACACGCTCTAGATCCAGGCAGCTCTGAAAAGCTCATGCCTGACTGCATGAGGCTTTGGGTACACCTGGGCACGAGCCGTAAGAGCACGTGACTCAGAATTTTGCTTGTGGATTTACAGGTAGAACAAAGCAGGGTCCCCAAAGACACCGAATAGCCACGTCCACTCACATGAGCCAAAAGGCAGAAGCCACACAAGGACCGGCGGGTGGGTGGGTAGGAAAAGGGTCGCACACAGCAGAATATCATTTGGCGAGGAGGAAGGGCATTCTGACACACACTGCAACACAGAGGGACTGAAAACATGTCGGGGGAATGAGCCGGTCCGAAAAGGATGTGTACTGGCCAGGACAGGAGGTGCACACCTGTAATCCCAGCTGGTCGGGAGGCTGATGCAGGAAGGTTACAAATCTGAGGCCACCTGGGCAACTTCGGGAGCGCCTGTCTCAAAACGGAAAGTAAAAAGGGCCAAGGAAGCAGCTCCATGACAGCACCCAGGTTCTATCCCGGTACTTGGGCGTGGGGAGACACGGCCATAGGCGGCACGGCTCCACCCACCTGAGCAACCAGAGCAGAGTCCTGGCCTCGGCGGGAGAGGGGTGGAAGATATCGTGCGCTGGACACAGAGGTTCGTGGGGGGGTCTGAGTTGGTGCCGGGACCCTGCACAGCAGAGTCTGAAAGGGCAAAGATGCTACATTTGTTATGCATATTTCACAGCTTAAAAGAACAACTGAACAGGAACAAAAAGCCAAATGTGATGGAAATGTGCCTGATATTCGGAGTAGCATCTAAAATCAAGGTCGTCTCTAGGACTGTGCTGGTTCTGCCTCTGCAAAATGTACTCTCCACAGCCACGGGGTCTTGCTCCGTGTCAGCAACCCGCTGCCTCTGAAGCAGACGCTCTGTGCCTAGACTCAGCCTCGACTGCCAAGGGTTGGTTCAGGCCCTTCACAGCCTTCCCCAAAAGACCACAACAATCTTGTGCCCAGCGCGTCCTTAAATGCATCGCCGAGCTCTATGAAAGCATCAGTGCGATACACACACACACACACACACACACACACACACGCACACACACAAAGGAAGGCACCGAGGGCCTGAGCGTCACTTTCTAAATTTAGTGCCCTGAGATGCTTGAGGACAAAACACCATCCAGTCAGAACGTGACCCTGGGTACATTCAGCCAGGCCAACACAAAGGGCCGTGTCTGGAGAGCAGACTGGCTTGAAGAAAAGGCTCAGGGACAGGTTCCTGCGAGGGAGGAGCTCCCGGGGTCCCAATACACACACCTGGAGCAGCGGTCAGGGACAGGGGGCTCTGTTTACTCGGCACCCCAAGCACAGCCACCAGTGGGGTCTGCTCAGGTCCCCTGATCCGTGCCGGTGGCCCCCAAACATTCTTGGGAATGCTGCACACCGTGCCTGGCCACGCAGGTGGAGGAGGGACCCGGGGCGGTGGCTGGTGCTATTTCGCAGAGTGGCTCTGTAAAGGGTGGCAGCGGTTGGAGCCCAGTGCTCCCTCTAGGTCCTCTGTTCGCCCCGCCATCCATATTTCTCAAGCGGTAATCAGAAAAGGAAAGTGTATCTCAGGACCGATGACGATGTTTCAGACCAACCAGAAATGAAACAGTTCTGTACCAGTAATGAGATCCCAGGGGCCGCCAGGGAGGCCCGAGACCAGCCCCTCTCACCTGATGAAAACCAGCTTCACCCTGGGTGGGGCTGTCTTGATGATGGCAGACGCATTCTGGTGGCTTCTTCCGTACAGGATCTGATTGTTTATCTGTTTGGGAAGAAAGAAAATGCACTTGTAAAACGCCAGCCTGTACATTTACACGTAAAGGTGTACGCGGATCCATGGATACCTACCTGGGATGAAGCCCGAAAGCCTATCACCTTTAAGTGTGCACTCAGGACTCACCCATGCTAGAATCACTTGGCCTTTGACCCTTTGAAGAGAACAGTAGCTGAGCTCAACACAGAGGCTTTATGACAAACTTCATTTCTTAATAGAAATTTCCCTAGACTCCCTAAAACTGAAGGAACAGACCAGGCCAGCGTTCGCTGCACCGGGGGCCGGGTGAACGCTTCCTCAACACAGGACAGGTTCTCAGGCAGGACAAATTCTGCCTGTCTGGAGGAGCTAAGGGTTACACTCTTGTTTGAAGGCAAATTTTAGATTTGTGGTACAGAAACATTCTCAGCAGACAATCAGTGCACCACCTGCTGTGTCCAAGATGTGGTCAGATTTTAACTTGATTTGCTTGAGTGAAATCTGATCTGAAACATTAGACTGAAGTTCTCCCTCTGTCTGCCCCATGGTGACGATCGCAGTTGTCCTTCTGTGTCATGCAGGGAGCTGCGCTCTGTGCATCATCCTGCTCACGTGGCCGGGTGCTGGGCACTGTTGGGGGACAGCGCCGACCCCACTGCGAGCGGTGGGGAGGGGCGGAGCCCGCCTGGACGCTCTGACACCCTGCGCATGAAGACCAGGAGCCTCTGCCGCGCTGGACACGGCCATGAACAGGAGGGTGTGCCGCCGTGGCTGTCCTGGAGGAGGCCGCTGCCCGTGGACCAGCGATGCTTCTCCCGCCTCTCACCCTGAGATCACCAAGCTTGCGGAAGTCTGGTGCCGTGCAACGTTCCTCCAGGCTCGGTGCCGGAATGGAACTGGTCACCTCGTTCACAAGGCTGCGTGAGAACTACAAGGGGCGCCTTTATGTTTGGCAGCGCTACTGATACCCACGGATTTCACATATTTGTGTGCTTAAAACTACACATCTTGTCTGTTTTCAGCCTTTGACACAGTGTTTTTAAAAATGTGCCCAGGCTGGGGACAGTGGTACACACCTGTGATCCCCTCATTGGGAGGCTGAGGCAGGAGGATGAGAGGCTTGAGTCCCATCTAACTTGGTGAGACAGTGTCTCAAGATAGGTAAAAAGAGAAGGGGTGCACCTCAGTGTGAAGGCCCCAGGTTCAGGCCCTCGTACTGCTGGAAACAGGCGTCCATCCTCTGTACATTTGGAGTATATGCTCGCCTACTTTCTGGTTTACTTTGCTCACATATGTAGCGGACGCACACGCACGCACACGCACGCACACGCACTTTTGGTGCTGGGACTGAACCCACAGCCGCGCCCAGGCTGAGCACGCAGGACCACACACCCATCTCCTCAGTCATGAGGAATTGTGCCGTCATCTCAGAGCAACGAGTAAAAGCAGTCTTGGTAACAGGAAAAATCCAAAATGTATCAGCAGCAAAAACAGGCTTGTGAATCGCACTTCTAGCAGTCTCGACTTTGCTACCACAGTTTCCAACCTACTTTATAACAAGTTATGAACAAGGGTCTTAAATCATCACAGAGAATGAGCTGCCCCTCCGCCTCACCCCGACCTCACCCGGAGGGGAGCAGGGAGCGGGGAGTGGCAGTGTCTATTCACCTCGCTTGCCCACTTTTTGATGGAATCTTTTATGTTTGGATGTCTAATTATTTTGAGTTCTTCATGCACACTAAATATTTGTCCTGTGTCTAAGGAGTAGCTGGCAAGAATTCCTTCTCATTCTCTTGACTCTGTTGGTGTTTCCTTTGTTGGGCAGGAGCTTTTAATTAATTACTTAATTTTCTGAGACAGGTTTTTACAATGTAGCTCAGGCTGTCCCCAAACTCATGGCAATCACCCTGCCTCATCCTCCTAAATGCTGGGATTCCTGGCATGAGGCACCATGCCAGGTTGCTTCTTAATTTAATATGATCCCATTTGTTGATTCTTGGTTACCATTTCTGTACCTCTGGGCTTTAGTTCAGAAAGTCCCTGTCTAAGCTTTTGTCTTCAAAAGTTTTACCTATTTGGCCTGTTGCAGATTCAGTATTTGTCTTTGTGTCTTTGATTCATTTCGATTTTAGTTCAGCACATGGTAAGACATGGGTCTAGATTTGGCCTGCCTGTGGATGGCTGGTTTTCCCTGCACCAAGTGTCAAAAATACTGTCTTTCCTCCAGTGTACATTTTTGGCCCTTTGTCAAAATCCCAACGGCAAACGGTGCCCGGGGCTGTTTCTGCGTCCTCTGCTCGGCCCGATGGATCCACACGTCTGTTTTGTGCCAGTGCCTTGCCACCTTTTCAGTGGCTTTGTAAGAGGACTTGAAGTCTGGGACTGTGAGGCCTCCTGCTCTGCTCTTGTTGCCCAGGATTGCTTTGGCTATTCTGGGTCTCTTCTGGTTCCACATGCATCTTAGGGTCGTTCTTTCCTAGTTCTATGAAGAATGCTGTGGTATTTTGATTGGGATTGCATTAAATCTGTTGGTTTTGGAAGCATGGCCATTTTGACAACAGTGGTTCTCCCTATGCAGGAACAGGGATCATTTTTCCATTTTCTGATGTTTTCTTGAACATCTTTTCCCAGGACATTGTAGTTTTCATTACAGATGCCTTTCACTGCCTTGTTCGAACTGATTCTGAAGTATTTAATTTGCCACGAAGCTGTTGTGAATGGGATTGTTTTCCTAATTTGTTTTTTGGTGAGTTCATTGTTGGTATACAGGAACATTGATTTTTTGCGTATTTTATCTACCAACTCTGCAGGATTTAATAGCTCTAGGAGTCTTTCGGTGGAGTTATCATGCCATCTGTGAAAAAAAGCCTCCCGTGCTCATAGGGGGTATTTTGGAGGTGACTGAATCACGGGTGTGTGGTGCTGCAAGAGTCCACAGATGGGTGCATGGCTGGGTGTGAGGCTGGGAGGTAAAGCCTGGTGGGTGGGAGGAGGTGGGTCCTGGGGAGTGGCCTGGAAGGGATTGGCATCTCCTACCTCCTGTGCGATGACTCGCTCTTCCTATGGCCCTGCTGTGGACTGTCTCTCCTCTGCTATTCTGCCCTGCCTTGGACCCAGCCAAGTATGGATGGAAACCTCTATCAACTGTGGCTAAACCCCTCTTTAACTTGTGGGTGTCAGGTATTTTTGTCCTACCACCAAGAAGGTAAATGAGACAAAGGGTTCTTCTGCATTTATCGAGAAGATCGTGTGATTTTTTGTTTTATTTTGTTTTTTGAGACAGGGACTATGTAGTTGAGACCGACCTGGAACTCACTATGTAGCCCAGGCTGGTCTTGAACTCACAGAGATCCTCCTGCCTCAGCCTCCTGAGTGCTGGGATCACAGGTGTGTGCCACCACACCCGGTGATGGTGTGATTTTTGTTCTTGCTTCTGCGTGTCACATTTATTTGCATATGTTGAATCATCTTTGCATCCCTGGGATGAAACGTTCCTGGTCGTGGTTTATGATCTTCTTCATGAATTGTGGGACAGTTTGCCTGTACCTCGTTAAAGATTCCTGCACCCATGTTCACTAAGGAGATGGCCTGTCGTTTTTGTGACATCCGTGTGGTTTTGGTATCCGGACACACTAGCTCCCAGGAGTGAGTTCAGCAGTGCCGCTTCCTTCTGATGTCACTGAAGAGTTTCAGGAGGACTGGCGGTATCTGAGCGGCTGCGATGTGGATTCTGAAGTAGTTTCTTGGAATCCTCTGGATTTTGGTGGTGGTGGTCGTGATTTCGCCAATTTCATTTCCAACTGCACTGACATGAGCTTGTCTTCCCCTCTGCCTTAAGTTTTGTTAAGGGTTTACTGGTCTTATCCTTCCAAAGAACCAAGTCTTTGAATCACCGATCCTTTGTACTGGTTTTTTAGTCTCCGTTTCATCAACTCTGGTCTTTATAATCTCCTCCCTTCTATTAATTTAAGATTTGGACTGCTCGTGCTTTTCTAGGGTGGTGAGGAGGGCCTCAGGCTATTTGCCTGGAGTCACTCTGCTCTGTCCACCTTAGCCTCTCTGCTGGGAACTGCTCTGACCTGTTTCCATTGTGCCCCATAGGCTCAGCAGGCTGGGCTTCTGCTCTCACTTGATTCTAGGAGCTGTTGTTCTTCTCTGCTTTTTTCTGTGGCCACTGATTATTCAGTAACCTGGAAGTGTTTGTAAGTCTTATTTAATATAAAACAATTTTACTAATGAAATGAAATGAGCAGATTTCGACTATGCAAGTAGTTTTTATCCTTAAGCAAAATACATTCCAGAGAAAATTCAGTAAGTGTCAGGAAGACTATGACAATTTTATGCACAAGTGGGACTGCCCCTTATCCCACGACCGAGAAAGCACATTCTTAAACATCGGATGTGGGAGGGCTTCCAAGCACAGCCCAGGCAAAGAGAGCACCCACACCTCCCCAGGTCTGAGGATCACTTATAATCAACCGTGGCTGCCGATTACTGAGGACTTCAGCCTGTGCAGCGTCTGCTAATGTCTTCACGGACAGTACCTCACTTAAATCTCAGCACAACTAGGTATTATTTACTCAAACTAGACCACAAAACTGACCCTTAAGGTTGGATAATCTGCCCAAAGTGAAATAGCTATCCTCTTCTGTTTGTTGTTTTTTTTTGACAGGGTCTCACTAGGCAGTCCAGCCCAGTCTCAAACTCATGGTGAACCTCCTGCCTCAGCCTCCTGAGCGTCAGGATTACAGGTGTGTGCCACCACACTCAGCTAGTAGCCACTTAAAAAAAAGAAATCTGTAATCTGAGGGCACACCCAGTGGCAACAGTGTGATCCTCTTAAAAAATAAAATCAGATGACTTCTAAAGGCCATCTTTATAAACATGGCTACTACATAAACTCTGAACAAGAATGAAAGGTGGGGGCCAGGGGTTTGGCTAAGTGGTTCAGCTACCTGCCTCACAAGCACAAGACCCAAGTTCAATTCCCCGTACCAAAAAAAAAAAAA